TCAGCTGGTCTCTGCCTGTCTGTGCCAACGTCCATCCTCAGACACTGTGGGCCCTGTGCGCTCGCGTTACGCTGCCATGGCAGCAGGGGAGGGGTGGGGTGGTAGGAGCAGTGGCAGCTCCACCAGCAGCAGCTGCCTCAGTCTGCAGTCGATGATGAGTAGCTTTCTTCACCAGCGCAGTGAGGAAACTAATAACCAGCGCAGCAGCAGCAGCAGCAGCATCAGGTGGACCTGGAGCAGGACCTCAAACAACAGGCTTAGGCCTACTTGGACAGCACCCTGCCAACCGAGGTAGACAATCCCCTTGACTACTGGGCAACGAAACTTGACCTTTGGCCCCAACTAGCTGAATTTGCCCTTGAAAGGCTGTCATGCCCGGCCAGTAGCGTGGCATCGGAGCACGTGTTTAGTGCGGCAGGAGGTATTGCAACTCCGCGGAGGACACGACTGTCCACCCAAAGTGTGGAGAGACTCACGTTTGTGAAAATGAATCAGGCGTGGATTAGTCTGGATTTCAAACCACCAGTTCCTGACACAACTGACTAAATCCGTCATGAATCATGCCTCAAACATGTGCCACTTTCAGGTCTCCTCACACTGCTGGTGTGTTCCATTTTTTGTCATAGGGTGCTGACAGATTACGGGCCTCCCATAGCTGCTGCCAGGCCCCTAATCTGCCATGGGCCCCTATACCGCCTCCTCATGCTGCTGCCAAGTCCAGAGTCTCTCATGGGTCCCTGTACGGCCTCCCATTGCTGCTGTCTCCATCGCCACACTCTGCCATGTGCCACTTTCAGGTCTCCTCACACACTGCTGGTGTGTTCAATTTTTTGACATGGGGTGCTGGCAGATTACGGGCCTCCCATAGCTGCTGCCAGGCCCCTAATCTGCCATGGGCCCCTATACCGCCTCCTCATGCTGCTGCCAAGTCCAGAGTCTGTCATGGGTCCCTGTACGGCCTCCCATTGCTGCTGTCTCCATCGCCACACTCTGCCATGTGCCACTTTCAGGTCTCCTCACACACTGCTGTTGTGTTGAATTTTTTGACATAGGGTGCTGGCAGATTACGGGCCTCCTATAGCTGCTGCCAGGCCCCTAATCTGCCATGGGCCCCTATACCGCCTCCTCATGCTGCTGCCAGGTCCAGAGTCTCTCATGGGTCCCTGTACGGCCTCCCATTGCTGCTGTCTCCATCGCCACACTCTGCCATGTGCCACTTTCAGGTCTCCTCACACACTGCTGGTGTGTTCAATTTTTTGTCATAGGGTGCTGGCAGATTACGGGCCTCCTATAGCTGCTGCCAGGCCCCTAATCTGCCATGGGCCCCTATACCGCCTCCTCATGCTGCTGCCAGGTCCAGAGTCTCTCATGGGTCCCTGTACGGCCTCCCATTGCTGCTGTCTCCATCGCCACACTCTGCCATGTGCCACTTTCAGGGTCTCCTCACACACTGCTGGTGTGTTCCATTTTTTGTCATAGGGTGCTGGCAGATTACGGGCCTCCCATTGCTGCTGCCAGGCCTGTAATCTGCCATGGGCCCCCGTACCGCCTGGTCACGCTGCTGCTGGGTCCACAGTGTGACATGGGTCCCTGTACCGCCTCCCATTGCTCCCACTCTGCCATGTGCCACTTTCAGGTCTCCTCACACTCCTGCTGGTTTCCATTTTGTCATAGGTTGCTGGCAGATTACAGGCCTCCCATAGGTGCTGCCAGGCCCCAAATCTGCCATGGGCCCCCGTACCGCCTCGTCACGCTGCTGCTGGGTCCACAGTGTGACATGGGTCCCTGTACCGCCTGCCATTGCTCCCACTCTGCCATGTGCCACTTTCAGGTCTCCTCACACTCCTGCTGGTTTCCATTTTGTCATAGGTTGCTGTATGGCCTCCCATTGCTGCTGCCTCCACCACCACACTGTGGCTCCAAACACTGGTTTTGGCCCCGTGACTGGCCAAATGAGTGAAGTGTGCGGTGATTCTAAGATCGACGGCACTCATCTGCATGTCATACTGACTGACAGTATTATTTCTCTTCCCCAGCAGACTCCAAGGGCATTTAAATTAAAGGTACAGTGTTCTGCACTAATATTAAGTCTCTCTGAAGCCTAGAAACACCCTTTATTAAGTTAAATTCACAGCGAATATATTCGACTCGAATCGAATATTGTCCACGAATTCGCCGAATCAGTCGAATCGAATTTTTGAATACTTCGCTCATCTCTAGACACCAGTCTTGAAGTAAACCAGGAAATAGACTAGTTTATTTTAACACAGATACAAGATATATACATACAAGGGAACAACCCCCCCCCCCCCCCCCCTGCATAATGATACAGGGCGGGGCAATGTACATTTAGTAACAAGAGAAACACCAGCAGACAGTCCCATCAGGAGGGAGGGCTGCTGGAGACACCCTCCACCAAGCCAATACACATAAACACATACATCCCATAATAGTTTGCTCCCAAGGAAGACACACATTAGAACAATGGGATGCTACCACATGGCATTAAAAAATCCACAACCCCCCACCCCAATATTAGGACAGATCACCCTGTACCCCTAAGAGGCACAGGGTGACTTACACATAAGAGGGATATGGGGAGCTGAGACAGGGGTCTCTCCACCTCTCCAAAGTGAGCTGGGTTCCATGGGCCCCCCACCCAAAGTGACTCCCGTCACAGGACTAAATTCACCAGCGGCTCCTTCACGGTGCACTACGCTCAGTAGAAAGCCCACCACTCATTTGAATCTTCAAGATGGCACCCTGTAAATAATTCTCATTTCTGACATGTGAGTTGTGATACAAATTATTTAAAAATGGTGTAAAAAAAAAAAAAATCAATATATAAACTGACCGAACACGGCGCTAACTTCTCTGACACCATCTGAGCAGTAATTGAGGTTTATTGGCCCTTGAAGGGGTAGAAATGCTTTTAATTGATGAACCGTCCCCTTGGGAAATCTGCGGGTACGTATTATGAAGCATGTCGGCCCATGCACGGTTTGATGATCCCATGAAACATTTATTGCGGGAACATGAAGATTGCGCGACCGTCTGCTCGCAGGAACGCGTGCGCTCATCGGCTTGTGAGTAATCTCTCCGTCTCCCTGCAGGCAGAGGAACGTTTTCAGCACAAATCTGTTTCTTCTCCGACGCGACGACCTCTGCTCCCTGCGTGCAAAGTGAGTCACACGACTCGGTGTTGGCGAGATTTGTATCTGCTCTTTTTTTTTTCCTCTATCCATCTTATTCTATTTTTGTTGTCGGATTGGTTCTGGGTGTTCGCAGTAAATCTCATTCGGTTTTCTGGAAAGGGAACAAGAGCGCAGCTGTTGGCCTCTTCCCGGCAATATATTTGTAATAATTCTTGCTGCACTTGAGGATCTCTCTACGGAGACGGGAAAGGAGAGTTGGAGAACACAAGTCTTCGTCAAGGCTTCTCAATTTCCCTGCTCAGCCCTTGAGGAAGTTGAGGTGCCTTTGGCGTTATTGAAGAGGCATCAAATTTTTTATTGTTTATTGGAGGTTACTGGGACTTTTTTTCGACACTGAAAAAAAAACCTGACTACACTACTGTACTAACGGTGATCTGTCCTCCTACCTGACCACCTACCTGACCACCCACGCCACCGCCCAAACCATTTTTTTTTTATATCCAATAATTTTTTATTAATCATTTCTTTCAATAAAAGATTATGCAATACATCAAACAGATCTACATTTTCTTCGCCCGACCCTCTCCCACCCATTCCCATTCTCAACAGACATCAATCCATAGCATACATTATTAGACCTCTTCATTAATTATCACCAAACTAGGAGATACATTCCATGATCTCCATATCTCTTCATACTTTCCTACACAACCCCTCCTCTCATATACTGATTTTTCCCTAGGTCCTCACACACACGGGACGTTTTTACAGCGGCTGTTTTTGGTTTTTTTCTACACCCAGTAAACCCCCCAGCATGTTATCCTAGGTGTCCATGCATACAGAGACTGGAATCAACGTTTTTTGGCTGGAAAAAAACCCATAACTAGTGGGATTCTAGAGGAGTTTTTAGCCCTCATGCACACTTGAAGTCTTCGTCAAGGCTCCTCAATTTCCCTGCTCATCCCTTGAGGAAGTTGAGGTGCCTTTGGCGTTATTGAAGAGGCGTCCAATTATTATTGTTTATTGGAGGTTACTGGGACTTTTTTCGACACTGAAAAAAAAAACCTGACTACACTACCGTACTAACGGTGATCTGTCCTCCTACCTGACCACCTACCTGACCACCACACCACTGCCCAACCATTTTTTTTTTTTATATCCAATCATTTTTTATTAATCATTTATTTCAATAAAAGATTATACAATACATCAAACATTACAGATCTATATTTTCTTCGCCCGACTCTCTCCCACACCCATTCCCATCCTCACAGACATCAATGCATAGCATACATTATTAGACCTTTTCATTAATTATCACCAAACTAGGAGATACGTTCCATGATCTCCATATCTCTTCATACTTTCCTACACAACCCCTCCTCTCATATACTCATTTTTCCCTAGGTCCTCATGCACACGGGACGTTTTTACAGCGGCTGTTTTTGGCTTTTGATGGTTTATTCTACAGCTAGTAAACCCCCCAGCATGTTATCCTATGTGTCCATGCATACAGAGACTGGAATCAACGTTTTTTGGCTGGAAAAAAACCCATAACTAGTGGGATTCTAGAGGAGTTTTTAGCCCTCATGCACACTTGAAGTCTTCGTCAAGGCTCCTCAATTTCCCTGCTCATCCCTTGAGGAAGTTGAGGTGCCTTTGGCGTTATTGAAGAGGCGTCCAATTATTATTGTTTATTGGAGGTTACTGGGACTTTTTTCGACACTGAAAAAAAAACCTGACTACACTACCGTACTAACGGTGATCTGTCCTCCTACCTGACCACCTACCTGACCACCACGCCACCGCCCAACCATTTTTTTTTTTTTCTTTTTTTTTATCCAATCATTTTTTTATTAATCATTTATTTCAATAAAAGATTATACAATACATCAAACATTACAGATCTATATTTTCTTCGCCCGACCCTCTCCCACCCATTCCCATCCTCACAGACATCAATGCATAGCATACATTATTAGACCTTTTCATTAATTATCACCAAACTAGGAGATACATTCCATGATCTCCATATCTATTCATACTTTCCTACACAACCCCTCCTCTCATATACTGATTTTTCCCTAGGTCCTCATGCACACGGGACGTTTTTACAGCGGCTGTTTTTGGCTTTTGATGGTTTTTTCTACAGCTAGTAAACCCCCCAGCATGTTATCCTAGGTGTCCATGCATACAAAGACTGGAATCAACATTTTTTGGCTGGAAAAAAACCCATAACTAGTGGGATTCTAGAGGAGTTTTTAGCCCTCATGCACACTTGAAGTCTTCGTCAAGGCTCCTCAATCTCGCTGCTCAGCCCTTGAGGAAGTTGAGGTGCCTTTGGCGTTATTGAAGAGGCGTCCAATTATTATTGTTTATTGGAGGTTACCTGGACTTTTTTCGACACTGAAAAAAAAAAACCTGACTACACTACCATACTAACGGTGATCTGTCCTCCTACCTGACCACCTACCTGACCACCACGCCACCGCCCAACCATTTTTTTTTTTCATATCCAATCATTTTTTATTAATCATTTCTTTCAATAAAAGATTATACAATACATCAAACATTACAGATCTACATTTTCTTCACCCAACCCTCTCCCACCCATTCCCATCCTCACAGACATCAATGCATAGCATACATTATTAGACCTCTCCATTAATTATCACCAAACTAAGAGATACATTCCATGATCTCCATATCTCTTCATACTTTCCTACACAACCCCTCCTCTCATATACTGATTATTCCCTAGGTCCTCACACACACAGGATGTCTTTACAGCGGCTGTTTTTGGCTTTTGATGTATTTTTCTACAGCCAATAAACCCCCCCAGCATGTTATCCTATGTGTCCATGCACACATAGACTAGAATCAGCATTTTTTTGACTGGAAAAAAAAACAGAACTAGTGGGCTTCTAGAGGAGTTATTAGCCCTCATGCACACCTGAAGTTTTTACAGCAGCTGCTTTTGGCTTTTGACATATTTTTCTACAGCCAGTAAACCCCCCCAGCATGTTATCCTAGGTGTCCATACACACATAGACTGGAATCAACGTTTTTTGCCTGGGAGGTTTTTTGGCTGGAAAAAAAACCCGGGACTAGTGGGTTTCTAGGGGAGTTTTTTAGCTGTAAAAACACTCTAATGCTGAAAAACGCGGGAAAACATGGTAAACCGCCGCAAACCAGCATTTTCAGACTTTTTTTGACCAAAAAAAATTATTTTGTTTTGGTAAAAAAAAAATTGCAAACACGGAAAAACGAAAAACGCTGGAAAATGCCCCAAAACTCCGCTAAATGCTAATGCAAAAACACAAAAAAAACTGCTATCAAAAAGTCCCATGTGCAAGAGGACTAAGCCCTCCTGCACACTGGATCTTTTTACAGCTGCTGTTTTTGGCTTTTGACGTTTTTTTCTATAGCCAGCATGTTATCCTGGGTGTCCATGCACACAGAGACTGGAATCAACGTTTCTTGGCAGGGACACTTTTTTTGGCTGTAAAAAAAACCTAGAACTAGTGGGTTTCTAGAGGAGTTTTTTTTAACCACTTGCCTGCAGGGCACTTATACCCCCTTCCTGTCCAGGCCAATTTCCAGCTTTCAGCACTGTTGCACTTTGAATGACAATTGCGCGGTCATGCAACACTGTACCCATATGAAATTTGTATCATTTTTTTGTGGCAGAGATAGTTTTATTTTGGTGGTATTTAATCACCTCGGGGTTTTTTATTTTTTCTTAAACAAACCAAAAACCACTGAAAAGTTTGAAAAAAAAATGTTTCTTAGTTTTTGTTATAATATTTTGTAAATAAGTGATTTTTTCCCCTTCACTGATGTGCGCTAATGAGGCTGCAGTGAGGGGCACTGATAGGCTGCACTGATGGACACTGATAGGTAGCACTGATGGGCACTGATGAGGAGGCACTGTTAGGTGGCACTGATGGGCATTGACAGGCATCACTGATGGGCACTGAAAGGCAGCACTGATACATGGCACTGATATATGGCACTGATACATGGCACTGATAGGCGGCACTGACTGGCACTGATAGGCGGCACTGACTGGCACTGATAGGCGGCACTGACGGGCAGCACTGACTGGCACTGATAGGCGGCACTGATAGGTGGCACTGATAGGTGGCACTGATTGGCATTGATAGGTGGCACTGACTGGCACTGATGGGTGACACTGAAAGGCAACTCAGATGGGCACTGATATGTGGCATTGATGTGGCACTGATGGGCACTGGCATGAGGCACTGATGAGCACTGACACAAGGCACTGATGGATGCTGACAGGTGGCGCTGCTGGGGCTACACTGATCATCAGGGCACACTGATCATCAGTGCCCTGATGATCAGTGTACATGTCCCTCTCCGCGGAAAGCCGATTACCGTCTCTCCTCTCCTCTGTCAGCGTGACAGCTCGAGAGGAGAGAAATGCCGATAACCGGCATTTCCCTTTTTACATGTGATCAGCTGTGATTGGACACAGCTGATCACATGACCGAGCCGAAATCTTCTGCTCCTTCTGTGGATCGGTGATCCACTGTGTCCGAGGGACACAGTGCACCGCCGATCGCGCCGCGCTGCGCGCTCCCTGAGCCACGCATGCGCGGTGAGAATGGGAGGACGTCATATGACATCCTCCCAGAACGAGAGAACCACCTTGCACCCGTCATATTACTATATGGCGGGCGGGAGGTGGTTAAGCTGTAAAAACACTCTAAATGCTGAAAAACGCAGCAAAACATGGTAAAAAGCAGTAAATAACGGCAAACTGGTGTTTTTTGGACTTTTTTTTACTAAAAAAAAAAATTTTTTCCGGTAAAAAAATTAGAAAAAATGCGGTAAAATGCCCCATGTGCGTGGAATCTATTTATTGTTCTATCCACCAATTTTAACCAGTCTTCACAGCTAGGGGCAGGGGCGGCCCTAGGGTTGGTGTCACCCGGTTCAATAACACTTGGTGACACCCCCTCCGATGATCCCCGCAGGATGGATCGGATCTGCAGATTGCGCATAATGGATCAGACTCTGATCCATTATGCTCCCCAATCCACAGATCCGATTGATCCTGCGGGGATCATCAGCTTTCTTTACAACTTACCTTTTCGTGGAGCCGGTCCGGTGTCACCCAGTATGGGTTGCATGCCGATGATCCCCGCAGGATGGTTCGGATCTGCGGATTGAGCATAATGGATCAGAGTCCAATCCATTATGCTCTCCAATCCGCAGATCCGATCCATCCTGCGGGGATCATCGGCATGCAACCTATACGGGGTGACACCGGACCCGCTCCACCTTACAGCACACATTATTTGGTTAAATATATTGAATTTTATGCATCTCAACACATCTGAAAACCAAATCCATCCATCCCAGCAGCATGTCTGCACCTATACAACTGACAGACAGCATACACAATTATGAAACTATGAAATATGAATGGCTTCAGGATTTTTATTTGCATCACTTGCAACTTTTCAAGCATCCAGAAAGCTGAATGGACAGGAATGTATATCCACAACTCAAAAAAAAGCAAAAAAAAAAAAGGTGGATGGAGTCTGAAAGGTTCGGAACCTTTTATTTAAAAATAAAAATAAAAAAATGTCCCCCGAAGTAGATCCAACTCCAATCAAGATGCCCGCCGCCGCAGCTACCCGAAAAAAGAAAAAAAAAAAAGACCGGCTCCGCTCATGACGCTGGCTACCACCGTCTGACAGCTGCGCCCCCCCCCCATGACCGTTTTCAAATTGTTATTATACAGGATTTATATAGTGCCGACAGTTTGCTCAGCACTTTACATTATGGAGGGAGACAATACAGTAACAATACAGTTCAATACAAGAGGGATTGGAGGGCCCTGATCCTTGGAGCTTGCAATCTAGGAGGGAGGGGATAGTGGTACAAGAGGTAATTAGCTGTGGGGGATGGACTGGTAGGAGGAGTAGGGGATTCCAGTATTAGCTGAGGTCGGGGTAGGCTTCCCTGAAGAGATGGGTTTTCAGAGTGCGCCTAAAAGTGAGCAGAGTAGGCGATAGCCTGATAGCTTTGGGTAGGGAGTTCCAGAGGATGGTTGAATCCCTTGAGAAATCCTGGAGACGAGCATGGGAGGAGGAGACAAGGGAGATAGAAAGTAGGAGGTCTTGCGAGGATCGGAGAGTACGGTTTGGGTGGTATTTAGAGACAAGATCGGTGATGTAAATACTGTCATGACATCACAAGGGGTGGGGTTCCCCTGCCCCCTGTGATGTAATCACATGCTGTGATTGGCCAAAGCATTGCACCTGACCTGTGGTCAGGTGTATTGCTTTGACCAATCACAATGCGCTGTCAGGACTCAGTGCAGTGCAGGGCGCGGTGGGCGAATAGCCCGCCGAACACCCATACCATTCGTGTGTTTGCCAAACACAGGAATGGCCCATGTTCAAGTCAAGTCAAACACGTAGCCCATCCCTATCTCTGGGACCAGAAAGGAAGGGAAATCTGCCCAATGGGGAAATTTCATCAAAAGCAGATTTTTGTTTTGTAATTGGGACAATCCAGACCCCATCTCCTTACCATTGTTGAAAACCAATATTTCATATGCTTGCCTTCTTGAATTTGACAAAAATTAGAATTGGATGTTGGATCGCTCCATTAATTTGCTGTGTGTATGGTTGGCACATGACCTGGTTGCTTGGGAACTTCCCCCTGAATGATTTATCGACACCTCTTGGTAGGAAGAATGGAGAGTTTGGCATCAAACAATATTTCCAATCCACCAACCCGGCTCTGCTGAATATACAATTATATGTGACAAATTGCAAACACCAAGACTCAGTGAAGTATTTAAATAATTGCCTCTTAGGAAGAAGAGAGAAGGTCATGGTGAGCCAGAGAGAAGCTTTTTCATGCTGGAAAATGATCCCTTGGGTCCTCATTCCTCAGATTTGTCTTTTAGACATAAATAAGTGACCTAATTGCATAAATAATACCGATGCGGCACTCCACAATGTTCTACTTTTAACAGCAAAATTCCAGAGTTGTAATTAGTCGCAATGCAAATTACCATGTGACATTTGTTCTTGTTTATGCCACTTCTGCAAATAGGAAAATAAGCTCTTTTTTATATAAAGAGCAACTTGTTGCTGCACTGATAGTTTGAAGATGGGATTGCTACTGTGAAATAAATGCTTTATTCTGTGTTGTTCAAATCTGAACTGCAGGCAGATATAAAAGGAACAAATGAATACAGATATCATCATGTTCTGCTTCTCCTTTCACTGTCCAGTCACAGGTTGGGGGCTTGTCCGGGACAACATGGGCATTAGAATGAGGACATATAGTGGCAGTGAAAATAGTTACTGCAGAAATGTTTTAGAACATATTGCCACAAAAGCTGGTTTTCTCAACAATTTTTAATGGGGCTCTTTGTTTTTATCTTGTTGTTTTTGGCTGGAGTTTAGCTTTGAAGTACATCTGAAGGTGAACAAAAAGTGGTAGGAGATATGTGCTAGTGAAAGGAAATCTCCTCTTGGACAGTTGTTGTGGAAGATGTTTCCTCTGTCCCTGACAACGTTTGAATTTTCCATAATTTCCTGGCCTGATGGTAATGGTCTCTGCGACAAATAGAGAGGGTGAATCCCCCCCCCCCAGCAGGAACAGGAACACAGACAGTAATAAAAACCTGACTGAGGTTCCGACCCTTCCAGACTCCATCCACCTTTTTTGCTTTTTTTTTAGTTGTAGATATACAGTCCTGTCCATTCAGCTTTCTGAATGCTTGAAAAGTTGCAAGTGATGCAAATAAAAATCCCAAAGCCATTCATATTTCATAGTTTCATCATTGTTTATGCTGTCTGTCAGTTGTATAGGTGCAGACATGCTGCTGGGATGGATAGATTTGGTTTTCAGATGTGTTGAGATGCATAAAATTCAATATTTAACCAAATAATGTGTGCCGTAATATGGATCCCGGCATTCGTGATCCTCACCTAACTGACCACCCCACTACATGCCTTTTGCAACCGCTTCCTAATGGCCTTGGGTCCAAACCAACAATGTTGGCCAGTGCATCCTTTTGGCTCAAGCACCTTTGCCCGTTGTATCGTTAAGCATAAACTTTGGACATTGAGTAAGAGGTTGCAGAGCACGAGAATAGGCTGCATGGCTGCATTACTGATTGGGCTTACATATGGTTTAAAATTGAACTTAATGGAGTTTTGATGGCCATATATAGTCATTGACTATGCTTCCGCTTGATCCCCATTCAGCTTCTACTTATTACTGATCTTTGTCTTGGTCATTGACTATGCTTCTGGTAGTTCCAATCTAGCTACTACTCGTTACTGACCTTTGTCTTGGTCATTGACTATGCTTCCACATGATCCCATCCAGCTACTACCTGTTACTGACCTTTGTCTTGGTCATTGACTATGCTTCCGCTTTATCCCATTCAGCTACTACCTATTACTGACTTTTTTCTTGGTCATTGGCTACACTGCTGCCTGATTCCATCCAGCTACTACCCGTCACTGACCTTTGTCTTGGTCATTGACTATGCTTCCACATGATCCCATCCAGCTACTACCCGTTACTGACATTTGTCTTGGTCATTGACTATGCTTCCACATAATCCCATCCAGCTACTACCCATTACTGACATTTGTCTTGGTCATTGAGTATGCTTCCGCTTCATCCCATTCAGCTACTACCTATTACTGATTTTTTTCTTGGTCATTGGCTACACTGCTGCCTGACCCCATCCAGCTACTACCCGTTACTGACCTTTGTCTTGGTCATTGACTATGCTTCCACTTGATCCTATCCAGCTACTACTCGTTACTGACCTTTTGGTTTGTTCATTGAATACGCTTCTGTTTGATCCCTATCTGCTACATCCACAACCTGATCCCCAGTTACTCTCCTTTTGCTGAGGCAATCCAGAAGGCCACAACCTGGCATTAGGCCACAGCAAAACCCACCTTGACTATTAGAAGCTCTCGTGAAGACCAGCTAGTGTATAGCCCACAGCATCTGCTGAGGGGATCTGCTTGAGTATTCATCTAGGTGACTACTGCATGAACCTCTCTACTGCTACAGCCCCTGGCCTCTGAGCCTGATCCCAGGCTGTAAGAGTTTCCGGAGGTCAGAAATTTCATAGTTAACAGCAATTGAAGCCTCCTATGTGGAGTAAAGGGGGTGAGACCCTCCCCAAAGGTGGACTGTAGCCACAAGATGATCACGGTAGATTGTAGCCACTCAGTGATGAGAGGACAGATGGCTGTCTCAGTGTCAGCTACTCTCAATGAGATATCTGGCCACCTTAGCCCAACCTTTAGCATGACGGCAATCATTTCTGAATAGCACTGACCAGGGGCGGACTGACCATTTAGGCACTCGGGCACTGCCCGAGGGCCCGGGGTCAGTAGGGGGCCCCATGACTTGCCCCTGGTACCTTTCATAGGCTTTTTTGGGTGTGGTTTGAGTGTGGGTGAGGACACAGGGGCCCCATCATTTCCTATTGCCCGGGGGCCCCTGGCACTGACCCATCACTGATCTGTCACAGTTTTTTCCAGGAATTGCTCC